ATAAAGCAGCTTAGGGGATAGCTCAGCAGCTCAGGGCTCTCGGAGCAAGCAAATCCGAATAGCAACTCCACAAATTTGTGAAGGGCTCTTCTGTTTGTCTGAGCAGCTTCTGAGACCTGCTCCATCACGCACAGGCCACAGATGTCTTTCTTTAGTATAGCTTACTTCAGCTGGGTAGTCCACGCTTCTATGGGGTGCAACTGGTCTGAGCTGGGGTCAAACTATGAATGGGAGAACCTGAGATGCCGTTCCTTTCTTCCGTGTCCCTCATGAGATCCGCCAGACATCCCTAGCAAGCATTCTGCCTTTTGATGTTGTGCTGCTCCCTCGTCATGTCCGGATGAATAAACTTCTTCGTCATTGCAATGGTTGCGGACGTTGGTGGAGGTTCGCCTATTTGGGCATGTTGACGTCGTTTTTTTCTGGGGAAATCGCCGAAGCTCGTTCAACCTGTTCTGTCTATAGGCGTTTTTTTGTCCTTCGCATGTAATGTCTGCGTAGACAACGTGAAATTAGCACAGTACCCCTTGAGCGACAATGAATTTGAATTGAAAGATTCGTGCCTGTGACGAGGACACGTTCACTCGTTTAGCGAGAGAGCCTCAATGGAACACACAAGTGGTCTGGTCATTCAATAGCGGTCAGGAAGTGTCAGCGGTCGCGGCTGAGAGTTGGGTGAGGTAGTGCAGGCCACCAGTTTAGAGAGGATTCACATCGCTGGTGGTGGCCCCCCAAAGTGCCGGCCATAGTGCAGTCGGTGGGCGTGGCGTCAGTCGGCGTCGGACATGAAGTTGATCGGCGCGGTCCATCAGAGCTCCTACATTTATTGACTGGAGTTTATAAGCAATCGAGCTGGGAGTGAGTGCTGAGTGCAAACGGCACCTCCCTGTTTGCACAGCTATTTCCACCTCGATCTAACCAGCCCCCTGCCCTTTATTGATTACGACGAACGCAGTGGTGGGGTGCACTTTCCATGTTCATAGAAAACAGGGCAGCTGACCGAAATGCTGACAAACACACGAAGCAGAAAAGATTCAGGAAAAAGTCCAAAAATTCCAATGAACTACCTTTCGTCTTCTATGGACAGTTTATTTTGATTAGTTTTGATGGTGGATTTCCTCATTCCCCATTGAAGCTTCTTACCCACAGACCATGTGGTTTTCAAGGTGCTCAACTCCTTCAGTGGTCAGGCGAGTCGACATGACGCCGTTCTGGACAGGGTCGATACCGGCGAATGATGTAGGACGGTGTGGATGGTTCCGGCTATTTTTTAATGAAGGCCTTCGTGAACGTCTCCCAGTTTTAGCACCATGCCCTGAACGCCCGCTCGCCCAGACGATTTTCCTCCGGCCGTGCCGGCATGACTCCTCGGATGTGCCTGCTGCTTCGTCACAACACCCAAGCAGTCAGCTGATAGGATCTTGCTGTGAAGCGAGAAACATCAATTTGAGAAAAGATTAAGTGGGCGATGGAGTCTGGCGCGCCACCCAACGCCATCTTTTGGCCCTTTCCTTCTAAGAATTGCTACACGATGATGACAACTCGTACATGTGATCGAAGATGAGCATTGCAAGAACTCGGGATCGGGAATTGCCCCCGAGGAGAACGAGACAGTGGAAAAAGTGCACGAGCAAGAGTGCAGCAGCTCGGCCCTGTTTCGTACCAGTTCTTGCCAGGTTTCCCCATTCGTGCCACCCAAGATGTGCCCACTGTTAGTCCTTTTCACATCCAGAGGCTCTCAATGGTCCAGCCTGCCTAATCATTGCCAAGGCAGCAAGATAACCCCGTCCCATACCTGAGTGTTGTACCATAAATATCGCTCCTGAACACTCGTACATTTGGAAAGGACGGCTCTCATGTAGGAGCTAACAAATGAGGTCTCACTAATTTTCAATTGATTTCCATCTATTGACTATTCTGTCCATCATTTTTTATTTATGATCAAATACTTTTGTAAAACAGTCGATAACTTTTGAAATAATTCGAATTTTTATGGCTTATTTTCACAATTTTCATCAGATTCATCGAAGTTTTAAGCTGGCGCTACCACGTTTGCCAGCGAAAGGCCAGCTCTTTCAAATCTCAATCCATTAAGCCTGAGNTCCATTAAGCCTGAGGATTAATTGCTGGAGATTTTTACGAAAATGATTTGTGGCTTCTAGGAATTTACTTTTTCGAAAAAAAAATTGGCTCGAGTAGTTGTTGGTTCCTATCATCTCAACAGAATAAGTTTATTTGTCAACTGAAAATTCGATTCTAGAAATCGCAACCTCGAAAGATCTTTGCCGAGATTGAAATCTCACCATCCGACTATTGATTTTCTACGGGATCCAAAATCCATTTTGGCAACGTAATTTCCCAATTTTTTCGAGGACTACCTGGTCTTTTCAATGAGCTGATCCCTGGAATCTCAAAATCCCTTTATAAGTAAACTTTTGCTCGTCATTTAGAACAAAAAATGTTTCTATTGGCTTCTTTTTAAATTCAGAGCCTCTTGAATCCTTCTAAATCCCAAGTCTCACATCTGACATCTGGTCAGTAGTTGGTTTTGGATGTTATAAGGCTCCCTTCCTACTTGTTTTGGAACCCACCTTGGGGTGGCCTTCTTGAAAACTTTCACCAAATTCGAACTTTTTTGCGTACTATGCACCCTTAGTCCTATTATTTGGTCCAATATTTCTTAGCTCCGATCAATTCACATCTTCTCATTGAACTCATATAATGAAAATATAAGCCTGAAATAATTCATGTAAAAATCAATACATTTAGATAGTTGATAATTTGTAGATAATTTTTTAAACTAATTTTGTATCAAATATTTTGCTGAATTTAGAGATGTACTCTCAAAATGTTAGTTTTGAACTGCTCTTAAAATTCCAGGACAAAAATCAGTTTTAAGAAATAATCAAGGTGTTTAGTTTTTTTTCGACTTATTTTTTCTTTCTGCAGGGGTAACGTCAAATTAGGGATGATGAGCACTCAAAAAACTGTGAAACTTCGCAAAGTTTATTCTAAGTGTTCGGGAATAGCCAAAAGTGCAACAATCAGTTGCACTTTTCCTTTGCTCGGGTAAACTGGTGGTGGTTAGCCTGAGGTCTCTAAGGCAAGTGGTCCGGTTTCGATTCCCGGATCGATGCTTGCTCCAGGACCAAGCAAGCATTCAATCCCTCTCGGATCGGTTTACTGGTACCATACTCGTCTGGGAGGATAAACGCATTGACTTTTACATCCCTCAGATGGGATTGATTAATACCAATTCTTAACCTTATCCTTTATTGCTAGGATAGATGAGGCTACAAAGAATCGGATCTCATCTAAATGACTCGGAAACCTCGACCATGAAACTTGCCTTCCTCTTTTCGTTAGTAAATGGGTGGTCCATGTATTCAAATGAAATTCTGCTGATCAGAAGGTAAAATTGAAGGCACGGCGCATCCCAGTTGATTGGATACTGCTGATCACATTGAGTTACACAACCCTCTAGGGACTTCCAGGATTAAGGCCTTGTCGTTCTGAGCCACTACGCTAATCTTCGCTTAGAAGGCTTATAAAATCGGGAAATAAAATAAAATAATACTAATAAATAATAATAATAGTAAAATAGAAATGGATTTCTGTAATTATAATAGAAAAAGAAAAATATTTAAATTCAAGCATAAAAGCATCACAGCTCCAAACTGGCACCGCTACGTTCTAAGCTTCTTCCTTTTCATCCTTTTAATCGAAGAGACATCTATCACTGATGAAATCTTGCAAAAAATCCCATTTTTTAACAAAATTCTTCTTCAAAAGAGTAGTTTCACAACTGTGAGCCTGCCTGATCGGTTAGTTGTAAGAGCTGGCTCAAGGAGTTTTCAAAAAAAGATTTCAATAATTGGAAATTGTCATCTCTACTGCAAATGTAATTGCAAAGTCTATATTCTGCCTATTCATAGTTAATATAAGATTGAAAACAGTTTATCTTCAGTAAAAAGTAAAAAATAATTGGAGATAATATGTGATCCGAGGTTATTCTTGGCATCGTATAGTAGTGGGCAAAGCGATCTCCACGGCTTGCATACGAAGTGTTCCCCCACTCCCTTTAACCTTTGCAAATGAAATGGCTCTTTTTGTTTGATGAGGGCTGATAAGCCTAGACAGGTCCATTGTCGTGATATGCAGTGGCGCCAATGAATGAATGAGTTTTGTTGGCGAACATCGGCCAGCTGTTCTGAAATCATAGTGCCGATTGATGTAATCAGGCTCCACCACCAGCCTTCATATGGCTTTGAGGGAAATCCTTTGTAGAACCCCCTACAGGGCGTTATATCGGATTCCAATCAACAAGTTTTCCCTCAATCGATCGGCCTAATTTCATCCGGGGCCGATCGTTCTCCCCAGACGTTCCAGGTTGTTTATTGAAAAAGCGAAGGCTCGCGATAGTAATCTTTCTGAGAGCTGTAGCGTTACTACCACTTTAAGGACTCTATTTGGCACGAGGCAATCAGCTGATAGCTTTATAAGCCGCACTTTTGGCTGGCACAACGAGGTGGAAGGAGGACGTGACAGGATGTACAAGCCAGCCCCGGAGAGGCGATTGCTGTCCGCGGTGCGAGCCTGTTCCACTAGGCGATCCCCCGACCCGGACAAGGAGTGCCTCTCCGTCGTGGACCGGCTGAGAGAGGCGTTCGCTTTTTGTCGCATTTTTTCATCGCGTGCGGTCGAAAGTACACGCGTTCGCGGCCTGGCACGGGCGCGTGTCCGGCAGCCTCTCAACGCGCAAAGTGCAAAAAAATCGGTCCACATCGGGTGGCCAGTGCTAGAAAAACAGCCGCAGGGTCGGGGCTCATAGCGTTTCCCGTAGAATATCGGACAGAGAGTGGGGGGTGCCGCCTCCGGAAAAAAACGCCACTACGCCGACAGTGGTCAGTAGAAGTCGTTCGTGGATGGGGAGCGACCGGCCGGCCGGTGTGAGCAGGAATCGGCGGTCGTTGCCAGCTGGCCGCAGCAGCCACAAACGGATGCCGTCAGCCAATCGCCGTCGTCCAAGGCGATACGGTAGGTCGCAATGGCCGCGACCGGGCATCCCACATAATCGGACCGCTACACACATGCTCCAGTTGAACGGGTACGTTTCAAGAATTCTGATGTCTGATTGAATCTCTTAAGTCTATAACGAAAACCGAGAAACATGATATATATTGGAGAGTGCTCACTGGCAATTTTTTTCTTCCTCAATTACAGTGATAACAGGCAAAAGGACAAATCGCAATCTGGTCACTGGACAGTCTGTTCTCTTTTTCGTAACTCAGCTCCTATCTCATACCAAACACCCGCTCTATAATCGCTCTTCTGTTCAAATTTTGTGGCAGTTGGCCGTTCTCTTTTTTTTCGGTTGCCTTTGTCGCCCCCCGTTTGTCGTCGTCGTCGTGCTCGCCGTTGTCTTCGGCTTTCGGCTTTGGCTGCTCCCCACATCATCACAGTTGTTGCCACATCCATGTATGTATGTATGTATGTATGTGTGTGGCGGATTTTGGTTGGTGTATTCGGGTGAGAGTCGAGAATGGCTGTGGCTACAGCGGACTTTTTCCTCTTTTACTTTCTGTTTACAGCTTCGCTCTTTATAGACAGAATACATCGGCAGTGTCATCCTTTTATACACACACTCACCAACAAACACACACACATCGCTCACACACACTCACACACTTGGTTTTCTTTGTGGATAGTGGGTGCCCTTTTGTATTGGTTCCCCTGTCAGTCATTTTTTTTTCTTTGAACATCGGCTGTGCTGGTAGTGTGTGTGAATGGTTTGGTTTGGCTGACGACAAGCCACTGACCACCACCACTGTCTTTAGGGTTTTATTCTCGGTTTTCGGATACAGCCATAGGATTATTACGTGATTGTTTCTGGCATTTTCTTCCCAGCTTTCTTTTGTTTTTCTTATTCTCTTGTTATTTCTCATATATCGCTCTTTTTTTGCCCAGGGATGTGTCCTTCGCACTATTGATCACCCCAAACCACTAGTCTACCGTATCGTTGTCATTTGTGTATGTACGTGTGTATATGAGTGTGTGTATGCGTGTGTGCGTGGGCCACACCAAACTGTTTGGTTATCCTGTTCTGCCTTGGGGTCTTATTTCGGGCAATAGGGAGTTTTTCCTTGAACTCAAATATTACTGAGTTGACTTCAGCTCATGTGACCAATTAGCGTAACCCTCGGACATGGGGTTGATGCTGCTAGCGGAAGCCATGTTTCCTTTCTTTTACTGTCCATTTGGGTTCTTTCCCGAGTAGGGTCCGAAATTCCTCGCACAAAGTCTTTGCATTTCTCGTTTATCTATTTCTTTGTTGAGCTACTTACGTGGTATTAGACGTAACGCTCGTCCATCTCGACAATCACTGCTTTTTATTGCGTTCGCCTCCCGCCACCGTTGTTTTTGTCAGCTCGTTCACTTTTTTCCCCCGCGCTTCTCTTGATCTGGGCGTTTTTTTCCATGGAGTGATTTCTCATCGTCGGTCCAAAGCCAGCTGGCTGCTAATAGCGAAAGTCCATGCTAAGAAATATGGCAACGATAAAGCCATTGCCAAGCAAGCCAAGTAGCGGGGCAGGCCGAGGAGGGAGTTTGTGGTTTTTCTATACGAAATTCGCTTCCCCTCTCTCTCCACGAGAGTTGCAAGAGGAGGGCTTCTCTCCATGCCACGCTCACTCTCTCCCCTCTCTGTGTCAGCTCTCGCCATCTCTCCTCCGTCCCGTTCAACTCTGCCTTATCCGCTTCGCTGCGGTCGCTGTTCGTGAACGACGGCGTCATCGAGCAGTTTTTCCCGATGAAATGTTGCGATAGTCTAACCAGCGGTTCTTATTGCCAAGGCTGCCATCAATGTCTGTTCTTCTAGCGCATTCCCCTTTTTCTCTCTTCGGTCGTCGTTCTGCCATTTCTCAATCAATTGTCGATTGAGTAGAACCCTCATTATTTCGGGGGGATCTTGGGTGGTCTTTGAAATAGTCTCGTCCTCTGACTCATACCCAAAGACATAAGACTACCGCCCATTTTCTAATATTTACCCTAACGTGGCTTGAATCATAGAATCAGTGAACGTTGGAAGGAGGGGTTTTTTTGGCAACCAGTCTTATCTATTCTGTCTCAGCGGTCATCAATAACTTCATATTAGCCAACGAGACGTCAAAAACTCTTTGCCAAAGACGAACCAGTTGCATCCGATTCTGTAAACCTCCTTATTAAAAACATTTTCCGATTGTGAAAGCGTCTCGATCATTTCTCTTAACCCTTTTCTTCAAATTTCTTCCTTTTTCTCTGCCGTTTCCGCTTGAAGGTCACTGATGGTGGCCTTGCCATGAAAAAACCCCACCCGATCATAAAATCCAAATAGCTCCATTCAAATTCCCTTCAACGAGAAAGTTTACTGAGCTCCAAACAACCGTCTAACACTTCAACAAGTTTGTGCCGACGATCACTGCCAAGAAGTTGTACACCTCCAGCTTGTCCATCATTTCATCCGGAAAAAACCTATTCGTCCTTGTTTCACGCACGAAAATCTTTCACTTCAAGAGTTTTTACACATCTAGTGGTCTCTAGACCGTCGATTTTTTTTCTGTTAGGCCTGGCATCTGTAGTCAATCAGAGGCCCTGCTCGTTTATGTTGAGCTGGAGCAGTGTCGTTCATGGAGTTGCCTTTTGCTCCCTCGATCGATCGCTTCTAGGGAGGGAGGGAAAAATGGAGCGGCAACGCCGGAAAGCTGGTCGCTGTCGTGCTCGATAAGACCATTCAAAGTGTATTGATCGATGTTTGGATCGATTATTTAGTTTTCTTTGTGGGACCGGTTTTTACATAGCTATTACACATTCGCACACACTCACACACACACATACACACACGCACACACACACACACGCACGCACACACACACACACTTACACTCACACATACAAACACATATACACATACACACACGCATTCACACACACATGAGCATAAAGACAAGCACACACACACACACACACACACACACACACACACACACACACACACACACAC